AAAAGAATTTATTTGATTACTAACAAGGAATTTTCCTGCCATTGAAAATGAGCTGTATGGTACTGAGATCCACACGTGTACAAGTCAAGAGTGTCTGCTTTCATGGGGCTAAAACTAGAGGAAGAACTGACTTTAGTAATCACAGTAAGTTCACCATGCAAATGAAATAAGTTCTTACAAGCAGGGAAATGAGAGCTATCAGTGCATGACAAAGATCAGTCTACATAGAAAAATTAATGGAGATGATCCTCATGGAGTAGGGAGTCATAGGGCAAGTTAAGGCATAATTAGACAGCTTCCTGGACAGCTTCAAGTCCCTGCAGGCAGGGACTTCAGGAGAGTTAAGGAAGGCTCCAGAGATAAGGGCAACAAATTGCAAAGGGAATTCCCAAGACTAAGTGAAACAAGACAATCCAGAACAAGATGATAAAGAAAAGTATGCTAAGTTAAGGGCTGGGACACTAGACTTAGTTCTAGGTACAGAGACATTGAGGCAATGAGTGAGCCCACTGAGAACCAACCAATCACTAAGAGACTGGTGGAGCATGAGAATAATTAGTTAGAGAAGGTGCTTATTCCCTGAGGCACAACTCCACTTTTTTTTTTGTTTGTTTGTTTTTTTTTAATTTTATTTATAGAGACATGTTTTATTATTTATTTATTGGTTTGTTTGGTTGTTTTGTTTATACATGCACTGGGCACAGTCAGAAGCACGAGGGTGAGAGAATTCACCAGAGCCAGAGCGGGGAGCAGAACAGGCAGAAGGACCAAAGTACACTGCTGAGGGGAGCAGCAGGCGGCAGGAGAGGTCTGCGCGCCATGTGGGACCCTCCTCCAGTGGCCGGGGAGCGCGGGATCGAACCGGCGCCGCAGAGGCCACGGTCAGCTTCGCAACCAAGCGCTCAACCGCTTCGCCTGGGAAGGCCCCACTTTGGTTTTTGCCCCTCCCTGGCCTGGTCCAATGGCCTGGGAGACCCACTTTGTATCTGTTCTTCCTTTTCTCTTTAACTTTTTTCTCTAATAATTCTGCCTCTTTTTGCTTTCTGTCTGAGCGTCAGCGGAGTTCCTGCTGTGTCTTCATGAGGCACCAGCACTTGGTGGCTAGTGGCTGGGACTCAGCGCTGCCACCACAGCTTGGGATCCATTCCTGCCTGGGAGCCTAGGCCTGATATCCTGAATTATGGCATCAGTGGTATTCATATCTGAGTTTATCTGAGAAATGAATAATTTTATGCACATAAGAAAGTTGGGATCCACGATGAGTATAGGGATAGCAGCAGTGAAAAGGCTTGTGTTGGAGTGAAGATGAGGGTTAAACCTCAGAGCTGGAGTGTGCAGTAGAAATGGTTAATACAACCCTGGGGAGGGAAAGCAGCACAGAGCTTAAGGAGTTTTTAATTTGACATATTCAGTTACTCTCAATCCTTAAAGATCCCAAACTGACCCAGAACAGAAGGACACCTCCTGCTCCACCTCCTTCACAGTCACACCATGACCACCGGACACCAGGTGACCTGGGGCCACAGACTTTTACTAAGGGCTCCAAGGAAGCACAGAACCTCTAAAATAAATACGGAAATGAATTTCTATTTTGGTGATAAGATTAATGAATAGCACATATTTAAAAATTAAAGTATTCAAGAAGTCCAGCTTTTGCAATTTGTCAAAGTTGGAGAATCATAGTAATGGAGGTAATAAGAAATGATCATTGAGATACAGAGACATGTGCACACACACATATGCATATTCCAAAATATATATAAACCATATTTAACGACATATTAGATGTAGTATATAGGACTTTCAGTGTGACTTTGGTTTTTGTTTGCTTGTTTTAATTTTTGACATAATTTCAAAATCAAACATGCATGGAAAGGTAATGTCGAGTGTTGTATATCTTTCAAATTGTTTAAAATATATATGCAGCGTTAGGCAAAAAGTAAGTGACTTCCTAGAGTAGACATACTTGTGTAATTTTCTCATTAAGAAAGTATTGCTCATAAAGAATTTCTGGTGTATATAAATTGCTTATCAAATTGTTTAAAATATTACATTTTATATATCCTTCCAGATTTGTCAGTGTGTCTGTCTGTCTATGTATCATCTACCTTCCTACCTATGTATTGACAGCTTGGAAGTGTGTAAATTCACCCTCACTGAGTGAGAATTCAATAGAAACTTGGAAGGTGAGTTCTTCAGATGGACACATTTAAGGATCGGTATAGCATCTTGCTTGGGTCCTGATGTACCTCACAATTCTTGCGGAGACATTCTACTTCTCTGTTGTTATGAGCAGATACTGACCACAGGGCTTTGTAATGTAAGGTTTTCGTTTAAATTTGAATAAAATGTTCAGTGCCATTTCAGTTATAATAAAAAATAAAAAAAACCTAGGCTTTAGACGTCAAGAAGTGACCAATTTATCACCTTAGGCAGTTTGTTTGTGAAAACCCAAAGGCCCACAACATTCACCACAGAGGCATTGTTTTCAACTACCAGGCGTCCAGAATTCTCAGGGCAGCAATGAGCTCTTTGAAGTTTGGACATGAGTTCTCACTTCAGTCCATGTGACGCACTTGATTGTGACAAGATATGTGTATATATATAGTAAGGGCTAAAGTTAAGTAATATGGAAACAAGGGATACATATTTTTAGCTTCATAAAACTTGCACTTCATGCACACAGGAGATGTCAACTTTTACAAAAATATGTTACAAGCTAGTCCAGCATTGTTTGAATCCTTCTACTTCTTTGCAGACATGTCACTTTATACAGTAGCTGTGAAGTGGTGAGTTGCCAAGTGATCTAAACATCCCCACCACTATCATGTAGTATGTTATCTTTCACTGAAGTGTAGATGAACTATTCCTGAATTTTTTACTTTGGTTAATATTTATCTGTTTATTTCTCCTGATGGAAAGCAATTTTATTTTTGGTGCTTTTAACTTCATTCAAAAAGCGAAACTGTCTTATGTCAACTCTCTGGTAAATATTACTGAATTTATAACTGCCCAGTAAAAATGCAACTGCAAAATGATAGTCTATCTGTTAAAACAACAATGTTGTACATTTAAATCCATAATGAATTTCATAAATATTGGGTAACTTGTCAGAGATCAAATTAATAATGTGTTCAATAAGATCACATGAGCATATTAATCAATGGTAAATTATTCCTGATTTGTTTGGAGCTACAAGGTGATCGTCTCTATTCAGAAGTGCCAGTCATGTAAAGATCAATCTGGTGAACCCTTAAAAAAGTTTTCAGTGGACCAAATTAGCTTTTGAAGCTGCCTGATTAAACTGAAATAATGTCAGTTTTTACTCTAAGAAGAGGATATGCAGAATTAGGCAAAAAGTAAGTGACTCCTAGAGTAGACATACTAGTGTGATTTTCTCATTAAAGAAAGTATTGCTCATAGAGTTTCTGGTGTATCATAATTTCTACATCAGTGTTGTGGAAACCAAAATTCTTAACTGGGATTATAAGAAATACACATTTAACACAGCATAGGCTATAATTTCCCATTAGTAAGTGTTAAAATTTTCTTAAAATGAACCAATTCGCAAAACTGGAAAGCAAGGAAAGAATTTAATCTTTATCTTGCCTTTTTTAACAACGTAATTCAGAGTGAATTGTTGGTAATATCTTTTGTAGAACATAAATGCAGGAATGATGTGATGATAGTTATATAAGTAGATATATAGATTTTGTTAAACTGTCCCTATACGCACATACAAGTAAAAGACTGCATGGAAAACAGATGAAATGTGATTATTCTGTGTCAATATCCTGTTGTTACCATTGTGTTTACATATGTAAGATATTACTAGTGGAAAAATATATGTGTCTCAAGCAAGCTCATGTGCTATGTTATTGTTGCTACTTCTACAAAAAAAAAAAAAAAAAAAAAGAAACATTCCAATAAAGAAGTGAAAGAATAAAAACAGAACAGAAAATGTTATATTTAATCCTCATGTTAGTTTTTTTCATTTTTTGTACACGTGCACTGTTGGTTCCCACATTAAATTCACATTCTGTTACATTATTTAACAAAATCTTCTTTCCACATCAGTGATGGCAGTTTCAAAACTGATTGATAAATTAACTGTTTTCAAACAAAGCTCATGAAGATATGCTTATCTTGAAAACTTTATTTGCTAGTTCTGAACTAGATCTGTGATTCACAGGCCAAATATGTTTCCTAATCAATTACACTGGTACATAAGAAATACACTTCAAATTCATTGTGCTTCAAAGTGAACCAAAATATATTCATAAAAACCTACCTGAAAAAAATAAAGAAATGTAAACACAAAGTTTTGAGAGTACCATGATTTTCCTATGTCCATCCTTAGAAGTGTAGTGTCTCAAAATGTCCCTGAGGGCTCATGGATGGTGCAAGGGGTTAAGCACAGCACTGTGAAGCTGTCCACAGCCTCTGTAGCATGAGTTTGATCCCTGGCCACGTAGGGAGACACTCCTGTATCACCTGCTGCTGCTCCCCTCAGCAGTGTATTTCAGTCAATCTCCCTGTTCCGTTCACCACTTTGTCTCTGGTGAATCACACCAATACCTCTGGCCCCAGTTCTTGTATGCATCAATAAATAAATCTTTAAAAAAATTTCCTTGAGATAATCATGACTATCCATTGGAACCCACTTTGGTATCCAAACTGGGTCTCAGCTGATTTCATTCTATCTTGGGTCTAACCCACTGTCCTCCTCTGCTTGCAGAAGATGGAGAGTCTCAGAGACCTCCTACAAGGATGTGGAAATAAGCAGAACAGTGAAATTTATATGCATTTTTCTAACTATATACATTTCAATCTGAGCGAGGTACTGAGTTTCGGCTCAAACCAGCTGAGGCAATTGTAGAGCATGTGTGTGTCTCTGTGTGTGTGTGTGTGTGTGTGTGTGCATGGAACAGTAATGGGAGGTCACTTGGTACCTTTTTGACCTCTGCCTTCCCGAGCTGAGTTGAGGAGGCAGGAAACAGAATCACAGAATGAGACAAGGACATACCAACCACTCAGTACTAAAGAAATACATATCCACTAAATCGACAGACAGAGATGCTTGATTTAAAATAAATTGCATGTGTCTGTGGATATGTACCACCTGGTTTCAAAGGTAATTTCCATGAGTTGTTCTTGAGTTTTATGACACTTCGTAATATGAGTATAGTTATGTATTTTTATTAAGTCAGACTGACTCAGAAATTATTGGTCTAATATATGCTAAATATTTTAATCAGGGTTTAGTACTTTTAAAAAATGAATTTTATTTAAAAAAGGAAATTTATCTGTGGAATATTATTATACTGAGTACACACACTTAGGTATGCTATGTTTCCATTATTTCCCAAATATTATTTTAAAAATATTTGATGTTCAAACATTTAAAAAAAAAACAAAACCTTCCTCTGACCTTTTTATCATAAACAAAGGGAGGCACCACGCAGGTACAGTGAGAATTTCCTGTATTGTGGTTCCGGAACTTTTTGAAGCTCTGATTTTGCTGCTTCTCTTTCAGACTGTCCATCCACACTCATCAGTGAATAGGTGATTCGAGAACATTGTTTGAATGCACAATTTCCATTTTTCTTTTAACTCTCTTCTTACATAACTTTCGGGTTTCTAAGTGTCCAGCTCAGTCCATCACGAGACCCAGATCTTCTGGAACAAGCGAACCTTCCCACGTCGACCAGGAGCACCCTCCTCATGGCAGGTATGTCCAGCCCCTGCCGTGCAACTAGAAAATACAAACAACAAGAAAATGTGTGTCATGGATATTGATCATTTCAAGTCAGGACTGGGAAAAAAGTGAGAATCAGTATTGCTGAGCAAAATCAGTATTTTGCTCTGATTTTTATTTTTTATTATTCTCATTCTTCATTATAGTAGTTCTTTTGGAAGCTTTTCCAGCAGATTGAAAGGATGATTTCTGACAGGAACAGCACTAATGGCTTACAGGACTGATTTACGAGGTTAAATTATTTCAACTCTATTTGAGCATAGAGATAACTAGTGAATTTGAAATGTTAATGCCAATGCTTACATGTTCATAAAAATTTCTCATTTGTTTTTGACACCCAAATGTCAACTGATAAATAGTTTTACAAACTAGATGTGAATGGCAATGTACTAAGGAGTGTACCCATCAGAATCTTCTAAGGTTTATTTCTTTTAAGGGAAATGCCTGTAAAAGTAAATTTGGGATGAGAAAATGCAATGTCTTGTAGCCAATGTTGGCTTAAGTGTCATCATCATTTAAATTATGTAAAAGAAATGCAGGTTCCCAGGGAGTCATCCCTTATGTGCTGGGAACCTTCATCACACCAGGGTGGAATGGTCCAGGGTGTCCTTTGTCTTTTCATCCCCATTCAGCTTCTACAGAGTTATGAGCACCCTGACATTTCTCTAGCAGGGAATAGAGAGACTTTGGGAATTTCAATGATGGCAAATGATGGCTGAGTTACCAGGAAGGCTTTGGGACGAGCCAGTGATTTCACTTCTGAGTTGGATACTTGCCAGCTTGATACCTTGAATAAGTGACATTATAAAAGAGACCTAATTTCTCTTAATTGCCTACTGGGAATGATACCTTTTATGATTTTCCCCGATAAAATATGTTAATGTCCACTATTTAAGTCCACAAACAGAACTTTGTATCTGTTGAACTCATCTTACTCAGATCTCCCTATTTCTATGTCTTCCCCTCCGAAAAAATTACTGTCAAGTCTATATTACTAAGATGTATCCAGAAGGAGATGCTTGAATAACACAGAATGAATTTCTGTATCGCTTGAATCTTTCAATGCTTGCTTTCATTTTAAAATGTTTCACTTCTCTATTGTTTTCCTTTGAAGGCATTACCCTACCTCTCTTTCTCTACAGCTGTTCAGACCACTCTATGGAGGTGGATTTCTGGGATCTTAGGAGTAACCTGCCTTTCGTTGATGGCTATTTTGGGAACTTTGTTGGTGTTTCATAGTAAGTTTTTCTAGGCACGTCTATATAAAGTTCAAACTTTGATCAAATTATATAATAAATGTTGCATTTACTGGCATGGACTATTTTATTTTTTCACAAAAGTGTATCTAATAATTGCTATAATTTCTTACAGCATCTCATAAAACTAATATTGAGCAGACAACCTCTCCAGGAGATACCGCTGAAATCCAAAAAGGTTGGTTCATATTTGTAAACCTTGGGGTTTCCAGAGGATGAAATAGGCAGTTTCCTCTCTTTTTTATACAATTTATACCATCCATAATGGAATATTGTAATCTAGTTATACAAATTGACCTACTAACTGTAAGATAGTCTCATTTCATTATTCTCCCATATACAAATTATTAAGTTATATTGACTATACATCATCTATATATTCAAACGTAAAGGAAATATTAACCTAAAATGACAACTTCATTAGTCCATGAACCTGAGTGAGTGTTCAAATTTTAGTAAAAAATCCAATTAAATTGCAGTATAAATCCCTGCCAATCTGAAATAACTGGCGGTTGCTCATAAACATTTGTTTCTCTTTAATTTTGATCCTGCATCTTTTCACTCAGAATTTAGTGTACAGATTTCAGCTTATCTAAATCTTACAAGTGAGCTTGCTCAAAACTTGAATTCTGAATGCCTTTCATCCAAATGTTTTTCAAGTTGCCTCAATATCTTTCGCGATCATATCTCATTTCAAGTTTATTATTTTTACTGTCTTTTTTTTTCTGATTTTCCTAGTTAATTGCAATACAACTGACATTGTATAAGCTTAAGATGCACAGTGTTAATTGATAAACGTCTGATATGCTGACATTATATATTAGCTAACATCTCTATTCCATCACTAAGTGGCACTTCTCTTAAGTTGATAACATTAAGAGCTACTCTTTTTTGCTAATAATAAATATGAAATAGAAAAATGTTACCTACTTTAATAATACTGGGTACTAGATCGTCAGAAATTATCTTGGAATATTTTGAAGATCTGGAATTTGATTTTGGAATAGTTGAACAATATTTTGTTCTGCTGGAAGTTTATATCCTTTGTTTACATTTTTCTTGTTCCCCAGCCCTTGATGATCCCCTACATTGTAATCACATGACAGCACCACTCATTTTGCAAAGATTTGAGTGCCTATTTCAAGTCAGGACTTTTGTAAAGAAAGATAGTAAATGCTCAGAACACACCAGTGTAAATTGGGATGAGACTTCAAGTGAATTGTTTTATGCATCTTCTTTTATAAGATCAAACACCCAGCTCATATATCTGAATTCTCCCAACATATGTTCTTTGTTATTATTCAGGAAATATGTTACAATACTTTCTTCCTTTAAAGATCTCTAGAATTGTGGCCTCCCTACTGACCTACAAACTCAGTGCTACCACCAGGAAGTATCTTTGAGGTGGCATGAGTTCAATCCCAGGCCAGAGAGCTAACACCCTGGTGAAGCAGACCTCTCCTGTCTCGCCCGCTGCACCCCTCATCAGTGGCTTTCAGTGGATCCCTCTGTTCTGCTCCCTTTTCTGTGTCTGGTGAATCTTCTCATCCCCTACACCTCTGGCCAGTACCCCAGCTCTTCTATGAGAAATAAATAAACCTTTATAAAAATAGATCTCTAGATCTAATTTGTTCCTAGATTTAGTTACCCTAGAACAGAGAAAAACAAATAGGCTCAACAGAAAAACATTTTTAGCTGTATCTAGAATATTCAAATATATGATCAGATAGATTTTCAAAGAATTTGTAGAAAAAAAGTAAATTATTTTTTTGAATGAGCAACAGAAACTGAAAAGCAATCTCCAATTACAGTTATATGTTATTTTTCTCTTAGACTCTGGAAACCGTTCTTGCCAAGAAAGATGGGTTGGCTATCAATGCAACTGTTACTTCATTTCCAAGGAATTCAAAACTTGGAAAGACAGTAGTGATTTCTGTATTTCTCAGAATTCCGCCCTACTTCAGCTGGACAACAGAGATGAATTGGCATGTATTTAATTCTGGTTTCCTATATGTTTAAGTCCTAGGAAAAAGTGTCATCTCACTAAACGGAATAATTTGACTCCAACTTTCATTAGATCATGCTGGATTATTAGTGTTAAGTTAATGATTTAGTGATATCCTATAACTTCAGATAACCATATAAAATCTACACGAAATTCATCAAAGATGTATGTTAATTGGAGTAAAATTCAAGGCAAATTTAAAATGGAATAAAACACATTTTAGAGAGATGGGAAATACTTTTTTAGCCCCATGTAGAATCATGCTGAATATTGGTTTTGAAGATTATACCTACAGCACTTATCCCTAAAAACACAGATGTAGAATCAATTTGAGTATCAGTCCCCTGTGAAGGAAGTATTCCATGAAAATTATAACTCCATTATAATTTTTCTTTTTGTCTGCACGTCAGATTTTGTGTTGTTATTTTTAAGTGAATGGACCTGATAAGTGAGGAAATAGGAGACTCATGACTACCTCTAAACCAACTGTTGCAAATGATTTCATTGGTTTTTGTGAAAGTCTGAATCTAATGCTGGGCATTAATTAAAAAAAAAATGTCATCCAGAGTAGATTGAAATTAGGTTAATTTATTTTTGTATCCAAGCAGCATTTTATGAAGCTTAATTCATACTATTACTGGATTGGAGTGACCTACAGTGCAGAGCACCGTGCCTGGGTGTGGCTGAATGGCTCTGCAGTCTCCCAGAATCTGTAAGTTTCAGTCAAGGGTTTAAGGTTTTTTTCTGTCTTTACGTTTACTGTCTTTTTTTTTTTTTAAGATTTATTTCTTTCTTTATACAAGCATTGAGTACAGTCATAAACGCAGGAGGGTGAGAGAAGTCACCAGAGCCAGAGCGGGGAACAGAATGGGTTGCCGCTGGCGTGGCAGGAGAGGTCTTTGCGCCATGTGGGACCCTCGCCAGCGGCCGGGGATCGAACCGGCGCTGCAGAGGCTGTGGGCACCTTCGCCACCCAGCGCTCAACCGCTGCTCCACCAAGAGAGGCCCTGAGTTTTCTGTCTTAATGCGTTTTCTTGGCTTTCATCACAGATAAAGCTAAAATCCTCTTTTTAGAGCATAAAAAGACAGAAAATAGTTGGAACAGAAAAACAATTTTAGTTACTTCTATATATAGTTTGTGAACTTGTGACCATATAAGAGCTTCTAACTTTTTTTTTTTTCTTTTGCCTTAGAACCAGCACTGGGGTGTGTGGGTGTGCAGAAGGCACATTTATAGGGGCTGTCCTGAGAAAACAGTGCCCTTGATTTTCTTTATTCTGCTGGAGCCCAGTGTATCAACTCCTATCCAAACCCATGTCTCAAATATCATATACTATTTTTATATATTTATAATCTTCAAATCTCTTCTCGTTCATAAACATGGGTTCTCCAGCCTCATACAATGGCAAGTTTTATGCCCTGACTCATTTCCCTGGACTGGATTAGTCAGTGAATCTTTAATATAGATTGTAGCAAAGTATATCAAATATCAAAACCATTAACAACAAAGGCAAAAGAACCCCTGCCATCTATGTATTAGATTAGAGAGGTAATAAATGAACTTTAGTAACATGTTACGCTGTAATGGTGAAGACTGTAGCTATTTAACAAAAAATATGACTCAGTATCTTAATGTCCTATTCAAAAGCTTTGAAAAGCTCTACTATTTAATAAGAAATACCACTGACATTTTCATTTATTTCTCCCATATGTTGCATTTTCACTTTTGATTACAGATTGCCACTCTTTCAAACTGAAATCCAGAGAAGTGCGCAATATACAAACCAAGTGGTAATGTTTTGGATGAAAATTGCATGAAGGAATACCGTTATATCTGTAAACAGCACCTTACTTAGGTGACCCTTGGTCAAGAAGTGATCAGTGAAGGCCCACCAAAAGAATGCTAAGTATCTCTCTTATCCTATTCCACTTATCTAATTTTGGGTTGTGTGAAATCTTTCAAGTTGTCTCATACTATTTGTATATATTTAAAAATGTTATAAAAACCACCACCATCTGTAATTATAAGGCATAAGATAAAGACTGTAATGAACACTTTGATTTAATTTGTGTTTGGTATTGAACTTAATATATTTTGACAATGTATTCTAGTAATTTTTCTTTTCATAAATTTAAATAAATAATTCATATCAAATAATATATGTCAATATCATTTCATTCTTTTGTACAACAGTCTAAATTGTGAAGATTTATCTTTACTCACATTTTCAATGTTAGCTCATTCTGGATACCTGCATATCATTTTGTTCAAACTTTGGCAATTTTCTATTATGTGTCTTTGTGTGGGTTCTCTTGCATTTACATAAATATATGTTCTAGTGATTTCATGAATTTTATATATACTGTTCCTTCCCGGGTTTGGACATTCTCAGTTATTTTTCTTTAAAGAAATTCTCTCTTTCTTTGTCTCTCTCTTCACCTTCCAGGATGTCCACTATTCTTCTGTTTTGTTTCCTAATGGAGACTGATGGTCTCATGTTTCCATCTTTTTTCTAAATCTTATCCTTTCTCATCTACCACTTGAATCATTCTAGATTTCTATTTTCTTCTTCGCTAATTCTTCCTTGCTTGTATTCTATCCTTCTTTTATGATTTCTATAGCAGTTTTGTTCCATTTGTTGAATCTTCATATCCAGGATCTCTGTTCTGTTTTTCTTTTATACTTTCAATCACTGCTTCTTTAATATCAATCTCTTCTCCCTAAATTTCTTCTTGAGTTATCAGTTGTCAATCCATCTTTTCTTGGAATTTGTTATCTTCCTGACATCTATTTTGAATTCTCTTTCTGGCATTCATCAAATTTTATAATTTAAAGTTTGATTTCTAGATATGTCTTTCTCTTTTGCTGTTATTTGATGAAGTTTCTCTCTGTCTGGGAAATTGGCTTCTCTCAGAGTAATTAAGTGTCTTTCCTCTTAAATGCAGTCTGTGGTAATGTGGCTTTCATTTTATGTTTATCTATTCTATCAGATTTGGGGAGACTTGAAGGGGAGGGAAGCGACCTCCTGCTGTAGGAGCCTTAGACAGGGAGGGTGAGGAGAAGCCTATGGAGTGTTAGTCACCATACCACACCTCTTACCTATGAACCAGGTTGTTTCTTACCTGCTCAAACACCCTCTCGTTGCTTTCGTCCTCAGACCTCTGGGTTGTATGGTAGCTGACCCATCTTGCTTGTAACACAGACTTGAGATCACAGACACATGGGTCTCTCCTGCATTCTCACATACTAAGAGGAGGAGTCCTAGTTTGGGTAAATATACTTAGACTAACACAAACATTAAATTCAACCCATGGAAGCTGACCATGTAACTGAGGCTCCAGAGGAAGAGAGGGATGGGCGAAAACAGGTTATGGAGAGAGCACCGTAGCTAATGTGTGTGCTTAGGTGTGCTATGGAGTCTACACTGAAGGGGGAGGTGCTATAGTTCCAACATAGTAACAACAATCTAGCTCACATGGGGCAAATGATGAGAGTGTCTTCCTCTGCAATGAAGCTGGCATTGTACCTCCTATTTTAAAATTTTATTGTAGTAACAATGGCTTATAACACTTTTGTTTCAGTTATTTAATTTTGCTGAAATTTCATTGGTTTACGTATTTGTAGATAGTGTCTTCAAGAATTGTCAGATCAGGGCTTCTCTGTTGGTGCAAGGGGTTGGGTCGCAGCCTATGAAGCTAACCACAGCCACTGCAGCATGAGTTCGATCCCCAGACAAGGAGCAACGCACATGGTGCAGCAGACCTCTCCTGACTCACCTGCTGCTCCCTTCAGCAGTGTATTTCAGTTGATCTGCCTGTTCTGTTCCCCTCTGTCTCTGGTGAATCCTCTCACCAACCCCCTGCACCTGGCCTTTACCCCCACTCTTGTATGCATAAATAAATAAATCTTAAAAAAAAGAATTGTCAGATCAATAAAAACTCAGTCTAGAAAACCCAACTTCTAACTTTTGTAATAAACCATCGTTCAGTGAGTGTCAAGTGATTTGCACATTCTCAAGCTTTACCAGATAGATAGGTAGTTAGGTAGACAGATGATGGATGGATGGATGGGTAGATGATATAGGAAGACATATAAAATATAATAATGCCTTAACAATTTTGGCATTTAATGATTTGGGCAAAAGGTATATGTCAAAGTTTGATGCTACTTTTTTCAGGTATCCTTTACTCTCGGGCCTGAAAAACTGAAAATTGTCAAGTTTGATTTTTCTGAAATACTTTGCTTAAATGTTTAAGTGTGTTCTATCAATTGACATTATCTTAAACCTGGAAATTTCATCTAGCCTAATCTATTTTAAAGAAGTTTTGCTTCTTAGGTATAGAGATGTAAGTACATTTATATATAATATAAAAGAAATGTGTGTTTGTAGAGGCCATCTTTCTATCCTGGGTCATGTTGGATTGACAGTAACCTGAAGATGTCAAAGTCTTACTCACAGTCCCCAGCTTTGTATTTTCTGTTTCTTTCCTTTCTCCCAAGGATGGCATCAGTCACTCTTTACCACCCAAACACTAGCACCCAAATCCTTGATATTCACTCCACCCAGGATCATTGCTGCTTGTATTATGCTTTTATCTCTGAAATACACTTACCTCCTAGATCCCTAGGGATTTTTTAAAAAAAGATTTATTTATTTTTTTTAATACAAGAACTGGGGTACAGTCAGAGGCATGGGAGGGTGAGAGAATTCACCAGAGACAGAGCGGGTACAGAACAGGCCAACGGACGGAAGACACTGCTGAGGAGAGCAGCGGATTAGGCAGGGGAGGTCTGCTGAGCCATATGAGTTTCTCCCTGGCTGGCTGGGAATCGAACCTGCAACCTGCGCTGCAGAGCTTGCAGACAGCTTCATAGCGGGGCACTCCACCAGCTGTGCCACCGGGGAGGCCCAGCACTAGGCATTTTTGAAAGTAAAATTATTCATTTCTCAGACTTCTCCATAAATATATCAGGAAAGTCTTCACTAAATTTTCCATATAGATAGGTTTCACTGCATTCTCTCCTCCATATCTAAGAACTGGGATGACTTCAAATATGGGAAATATTTACTTCCCTAGAAATTGATGTCTTTATTCAATAAATATCATGTATAATTCCTTAATTTTAATTCACTATATGTACAGTAAAGTAAAATAAAAACCATATTAGTAACATTGGGAATAATACAAAAGAAATAAGGAATATGAAGGAACATTATTGGAACTGAAATAGTAAATAAAGCTATCCAAACTGGGACAGAGATATTAAGTAATTTTTAAATGTTCAAATCTTCCAATACTTTCAAAGTAGATCTTGTCACTATATTTGCATACACAATAAGTTATTTACAATACCAGTCTTCTGTCTGTCTCATTTTGGTATCTATGGGAAGAATGAACAGTTAAGTTTAAAAGATAAAATTTCCAAAATCACAGAAAAAATGTGCTTTTGAGAAGACAAGTTAATGGTTAAATACAGTTCTACAAAGTCAGGAAACATTAAACTTTGTTAGTCACATAGTTACAAAGAGTTTGAACATGCATAATCTCCACTGTATGGAAAAAAATGAAGAGAATTTACTTGATTCACCAAAACACAATTTTCCTGCCCTTGGTCAGGCACTGAGATTTAAGTACAGAGATGCACATGTGTACATGTCTAAGAGCTGTCTGCTTTCATGGTTCTAAAACTAGAGGGAGAAATGATTTTAG